TTAATGACCCGCCTGGCAATGACCTGCTTGTTAATGACCCGCCTGGTAATGACCTGCTTGTTAATGACCCGCCTGGTAATGTGTCGCAGGGCTGAAACACAGTTGCTGCTGTATTTTTATCATTAAAAAATAAAAACAGCTTAACTATATGAATCAAGATTCAATATTCAAGAAAATTTTATTGTTTATTACAAAGGAAGATGACAACACAAGTAAAAACAAGCAACCAACAAATTCATATTATTTTTGACTCCCTAAGGAATTTAAAGTGAAATATACTTGAGAAGATATGGTGTTGTTTTTTTTTTTTTTTTTTTTAAATGGACAGTTATGAATGGCTGATCCGGGGAGCTTCCCCAGTTAGTGGCATTCACTGGGGCACGTGTGCTGAAGGTTATACGAATGGAAATCCAAAGCCCCCCCCCCCCAGTGGGGACACGGGCTGCATATGCTGTGATATTCCAGGACTCCGAGGAACGCCGGGCTGTTGAAACGGCAATGCCATAGGTGGGGGGCATTTCCACAGCGTAATGGTGTGGGGGGAAGCTGGCCGTCATGGAGAAACTTGTGTAATGGGAGCCCTGGCTGAAATCTGCCGTTTGCAAAGGGCTGGGGGGTGACCAAAATGGAATGCCACGAGAGGAACGTGATTAGTGTACCCGCATATGCTATCATCCGTGCGAGGACTGGTCACGCCAGGAAGAGCAGAACAGGACTGAGGAGGAAGGAGACATGCTTGGTGGGTCATTGGCATCCTGTGCTTATCGTCATCGGCGGACCAGGACCTGGGAATGTAAGATGATTCGGGTCAATTGGAAACAAGAATTATTTTGGGTTCGAAACACAAAAACAAACAAAGGAATATACAAAAACCTTATTATAAGTATTATTTAAAGGAAAAAAAAAACATCAGGATTGTTAATTAATTAGATTAATTAGAGGGCCTCCAGTTCTCATTCTGTGGTTGGTTTTTACCTGTATTAAGATCCCAGGCAGGCTTCTGGGGTGGGGGTGGGGGGACTATGTGTTACTCAGTGGGTTATTGGGATCCGTGCCCACCTGTACGATTGTGGGTTTGATCTCCTGACTCTACTGTCTCCTGGTCTGTTGAGATTATGCCCAGTGCTCAAAAAGTGTGGTTTGTTCAAATGTCATGTAAGTGTATTGCGAATAGGGGAGAGCCTAGTTAAAGTGGGGTAAAAAGGACACGTGTGGCCACTTTCAGGACGACTACGAGGTCACGGCCGACGAGAAGCGAAGGAGCAGAGGAGAGTCCATCATCCGGAGGTTTCTGAGCGCGGAGGTGAGGCCCGAACCGCAGCTTCTGACTGCGCAGCTTCTGACTGCGCCGCTCTGCGGACGCAGTGGGGGGGCTCACGCTCTTTGTGTTTACGGGTGCAGTCGTCGGAGTTTGTGCTGGAGGTAGCGGAGGAGCACGCACAGCAATGCCGGGACAACCTGGAGCTCAGTCCCTGTAAAGAGCTCTTCAGTGATTGCCGTAGGTGGGTTGCCTTCCCCATTTGAATAATAATAATCATTTATATGGCACTTGTGTAGCTACACTAATTAAAAATACAACAGAATAAAAATGTCACGCTCCACCCCCCCCCCACCTCTGTTCCCAGGCTGCTACACCCTCCCCAGCCACAAAAATGGCCCTTTAGGGGCCACCAGTAGGGTCTGCAGTTAAAATCGCTTCAGACATCCCATTTCAGATGTTTCTTCTAAGACGTATTAAAGATGTTGTTTAATAACAGGAGCTCCTTTGCCAAAAGTTCATAGCTGTAGGGCAGACTGAGCTGTCATGTGCCTTTTACCCCCACAGATCTCTTCACGAGTATTTAGGTGGGAGCCCCTTTAAGGACTTTCAAGAAAGCATGTATTTCGACCGTTTTTTACAGTGGAAGATGCTGGAGAGGTTGGTTCTACTGGCCTTTTTTCTTGCAAATTACCAAAGGCGTGCGTTTCAAGAGCATAAAAAAAACGTTTTTCATTCTTATTAAATCCAGAATTTCCAGAGCAATGGCCGTTGAACGGGTTGACCAAGAAATTATTTCAAAGCGTGTCTTTTGTTTCTAGACAGCCGATAACAAAAGACACGTTTCGACAGTATCGCGTTCTGGGAAAAGGAGGTTTTGGAGAGGTGAGTGTATTTCATAGACGCAAAGCACACGGCACAATTAAGAGAAGACGGTACGTGTGATATATTTCCGCATTAAGCGGGACTGACGTTCCCCCAGAGTACTAACATGGTGTCACGATGCGTGCAGGTGTGTGCCTGCCAGGTACGAGCCACAGGGAAGATGTACGCCTGCAAGAAGATGGAGAAGAAGCGCATCAAGAAGCGGAAGGGTGAGGCCATGGCTCTTAACGAGAAGCAGATCCTTGAGAAAGTTAATAGTCGATTTGTGGTAAGTGTCCTGCTGCCCCAGTCCAGAGGTACATAGAGCAATATACTGAAATTGTTCATTGTGCATGTTGAGTAATAATGACTCTACTCTAAGTCATTTGTTTTTGGGAGCCCCCCCCCCCACCCCAAGTGGTGGGACAGAATGAAGGAACATGTTTCTCCATGCATGCAGGTAAGCCTGGCTTATGCCTTCGAGACCAAAGATGCTCTGTGTTTGGTGCTGACCATCATGAACGGAGGGGATCTGAAGTTCCACATCTACAACATGGGCACGCCTGGCTTCAAGAAGGAGAGGGTGCAGTTCTATGCTGCTGAGATCTGCTGTGGTCTTGAACACCTGCACCAGGAGTCCATAGTCTACAGGTGATTTCAGTAGACATCAGTAGATTTACCCCTTTGGTCACTAGGGTTTTATCTTACTATAAATGCATCCCGTTGAGTTCTCCTCCTAATGCTCTAAGCAGTGTTCCCCAATCCAGTCCTCGGGGAACCCCGGTCAGTCCACGTTTTTGCTCCCTCCCAGCTCCCAGCCAATCAGGAACACCGAATACCTGGTACAGGCGCACTGGGAGCTGATAGGAAGCAAAAACGTGGACTGTCCGGGGTCCCCCGAGGATTGGGTTGGTAAACAGTGCTATAAATGGTCCATTTTAAACCAGTAGTTATTGACAGGTGATAGATTACAATTTGATCACAGAAATATAAGATTTTAATTGATTTTTATTTTGCTTAAAAGTGAATGAAAATGAGGAAAGCAAATCTGGTTTTCTTTCCTTTTCATTTTGGGGAAAAAAAACTTTTCTTAATTGTTACATTTTATATGTCATCAGATATGGGTAGATAAATCAACAAAAATCACATACTAAGTGGACACGTTTTTCAACCCCTTTAAAGTGATTATAGAGACAGAAGTGGGTCCTACCTTGTACTACGTGCCTGATAAAAGTGGCCGTTGAATGTGTGGTCAATCATGACTCACCTTAAAGGAGAGATATTGTGGAATCTAGCACAACAAAAACGCGTCTTCAGTTTGAATGACCCAAAATGAATCAGGAGAAAATCTTTGCTCACACCTTGTTCCTTTGTTTTTTAGGGATTTAAAACCTGAAAATATACTTTTAGATGACAACGGTAAGTTTACCATGAAAAAAGGGAGATACCTATATTATCTAATGTAAGAATCTCACGCAAACACATTCCATTTTCGACCAACCGAATTCAAGCGCTGACTTCCGTCAGAAAAAGCCATGAGCCGGGAGCAGAAATTGACCCTGTTGGTCACGTGTCCCTGTTTCACACCCGTGTCTCATTTGGCTGCTGCAGGACACATCAGGATATCAGACTTAGGTCTGGCCTTCAAGGTCCCTGACGGGGAGCTCATCCGGGGCAAAGTGGGCACCGTGGGCTACATGGGTACGCAGCCACGCACCGGCACCCGAACCCCCGAAAAGATTTTATTATAGGTCCTTGTTTGAATGTGAAATAGTAATTGCGTAATGGCTAAACTTGATTTAAAGTCAGGAGTCAGAGCAGATTAGCTTCATCGCTAGCAGTGAACATCTTTGAACGAATGCAGCCCCAGAGGTGATTAACAACGAGCGGTACGGCATGAGCCCGGACTGGTGGGGGCTGGGCTGCCTCATCTACGAGATGACCATGGGTCACTCACCCTTCCGGGGACACAAGGAGCGCGTGAAGCGGGAGGAGGTGGAGAAACGGGTGCTGGAGCAGCAGGAGGCATACAGTGAGCGATTCACGGAGCACACGGAGGACATCTGCAGGAAGGTGAGCAACCCCTGTAATGTGCTCCTCAAGAGGGTGGGGCCAAAAATCCCAAAGGTCATGCCTCGCTCACCCAGCCGCCATCTTCCCCTCTCTCTCCCAGCTGCTGACCAAAAACCCAAGGAAGAGGTTGGGCTGCCAGGGAGACGGAGCGGCTGAGGTGAAGAGCCACCCCTTCTTCAAGAACATCAACTTCAAAAGGCTCGAGGCTGGCATCTTGGAGCCCTCCTTTGTGCCTGATGTGAGCAACGCGAAACAGTAAACACACAATAAACAGATCTGAGGAGAAGCCTTAGGCATCCAAAGAGAATTAGGATTAAATGATCTTCATGTTGGTATAAAACTATGACAATATGCCTGTTCAAGTGTGTAAGCCTTGTCATTTCAAAACCTCTCCTAAAATCACCCTAGTATTTGGGGCAACCAACGACACACCAGTGTATTCTTTGACTCCTCCACTAGCACCTCGTACAGCTAATCAATAAAAAATAACTTTTTTAAACTAATTAAATTAATTAATGAAAGGGGCTGGTGACTGGAATGGCCCGAGGAGAGGTTTGGATACTGAAGCGGCGTTCATCTAGCCATCCAACTAGATATTTTTACTAGTTTTTATTGTGTTACTCTTAATTTGCATATGTTCTAATGCTAAAATGTGTTTTTGTTCTGAGCAAAAGTCCACTATAGCTTAAATAGCTTAAAACACATCTTATGACTGCCTAAGACTTTTTTGCACAGTACTGTACGTTTGCTGTTAGAATTTATCAGCCAGTGTTATGACAGAAGTAAAATAACATTCCCCTAGGTCAGGGTTATTCAAATTGCGGTCCTCGAGGTGCGAGCACTGCTGGTTTTCCAGCCTTCCTTTACCTGTCAGTCAGGTGTGAAGCCTCTGACCAATCAGAATCAGTAATTATTAAACTAACTACCTGGGAGAACTGAAAACAAGGCCTGGATTTGGAATCGAGGTCCAGATTTGAAGAACCCTGCCCTAGGTCACAGTGTCTGCACAAGGTCACAGACAACAAAATATAAATATAGAAGTTATCAGAAAATCTTATACTTAAAGGTACCCTGAGATGCTCCTAAATATATAAAAATAACGCAGATAACAATATGTTCTCACTGACACACATCCATGCGTATGCAGTCTTACACATATATAATAGTGCAAAATTATATAACAATGTGCAAATGATATAATAATATAATAATATCAATGTGCAGTAAGTCAGTAACCGTGACAAACACAGTAGCTATGCAGTGATGATTGGCATACACTGTGTTTTAAGTTGCTACAATGTTGCATGAAAAGGTGATAATACACAATGGCGTTTTTAAAGTTTGGGTAGAGAACTTCTATCTGTCTAATCACAAGGCTCCCCTCCTTCTAGCCGAGAGCTGTCTACTGCAGAGATGTCCTGGACATCGAGCAATTCTCCACCGTAAAGGGTGTCAGTCTGGACCAAACTGACAATGAATTCTACTCCACGTTCGCCACAGGCAGCGTCTCCATTCCTTGGCAGAATGAGGTATGGGGTGAAGTGTGAGGTCTGCCTGAGCGCTGCTTGAAAGGGGGGGGGGGGGCTGTAGGAGCCCCCTGTGTCACCCTGCACACCCAGGCTCTTACATGTATTGCCCCACCTGCATCCTCAGTAGTTACCATAGCCTGCTGTCATGTTATGATGCCCTGTTCTCCAGATGATTGAGACCGAGTGCTTTAAAGACCTGAATGTATTCGGATCCCATGGCACACGGCCCCCCAATCTGGACTGGACACAGGCACCAGAGCCCCCACGCCGCAGCCTGCTGGACAGGTTCTTCAGGAGACATGTGAGATGATCGCACGTCCAGCCACTGTAGCCTGCTCATATGTCCCATATTATCCCCTTCATCGTTTATCGTTTTTTTTTTAATTCCTACCCTTGTTTCCTTAGCAGGGAGAATTTTCCATTAACCAGACCAGGGTCTCGTCTTCCAGCGTGAATTCTGTGGATTCTATATCGAACTCTGCCCCCTAGTGGAGGGCCTCGGAGTGAAGCGGCGGAGGAGAATTACACTTCGGGACATGCACGGCAGCCTTATTCGATCACCTCACACAGAGACACCGGTTGTCCCCAATAAGCCGGGGACTGTGAATCCAATGGAGTGAGCCAGACATCTGAGATGTGGGAAGACGGTCGAAGAGCAAACAATCAGTCACCTCATACACCTTCAGGATCACTGGGCCACCAGACAGCCCCTGCTGAAGTTCAGGGGGTCCGGTTTTAATAGCCCATCACAGGGAAAAGAAGCTGGTGTCTCTTTGACTTCTGAAACACACAGATTGCCTCTCCTTTTCTTCTTCTTCGTAATCCTCTTTTGTTCTCTTTCACACACAGACAAGCACAAACACCTGTATACAACACCACCAACCTCAAGACAAACTGCATTTCGCCTTGCATTATCTCAGGCCAAAGATTGTTTTAATTACATTTTAATTGTTTTAATATGATAAATGTTACATTCTTTTGTACAGGCACAATTCAGCAGTAAAATTAATAGACAAGATGTGTGTCTGTTTTTACACATCTCTTAGCAAACTGGATCCAGTGGCCAACATGTTAGACATAACTAAGATCCAGGCGGCGGGCAGTTTCTAACTGTTGGGGGCTGTTCAGAGAAATGTGTGGGGAGTGCAGTGTGTATGAGGGACGTGGGGGAAAAGCACTGCACAAGCACTGCAGGGGATCTCACAGGGAGTGGATAGACACACAGGGCCAAAGCATGGACGATTAGCATCATCAGAATGGTGGCAGGACAGAAGCAGCCCTGTTTTCAGTGGGAATCCCCCCCCCCAGCTCAACAGGCCCACCCAGACTCTGAGTGTCAAGGTCTTCAGAGCACAAAATCCAGGCACCCCTAAATGAGGTTCATAATGTCACTGCAGAGCGAGAAACCTCAACTTTTATACACGGTTACATGCCACCTAATAAACGACATTTTTTTCATCAGTATTTCCTCTATGCATTATTTAAAGTGTGAAATGAAGACCTTTGATGATCGCAATTAGCTACTTAGTTAAATGGTATTGTCAACAATAAACTTGTTCCTGAACAAAAACGTTTTGCCATTTCGTATGAAAAGAGTGTAACTAACACTGCAATGGAAAGTGAGATGGTTGAGTAATATTTCGTTCTATGGGACAGTTGGATATTGAGTTAGAACTGCTGCTTCCTGATTGTGTATGAGCAGAAATCTGGATGCCACTTAATGTGAAAATGTATGGTGACGATTAAGGATCCCATGCGTGTCTTGTTGGCCCACTGGGGGCTCCCACTTTTACCGTCTGCCTATGAATCACGGGCGGAGCAAGTCAGGTAGCACTGCTGTTGTTTTCCATCCCGAAGAGAGCTGGGATGTTCCAGTTCATACTTAGTAATATGGAAAATATGCAAGTTTAGTGCTTCCATTAGCGCAGGTACCCTACTCCCATTTCTACATGTAAATTCATGAAACTGACACCCAGCACTTTTTAATCTGACAATAGAGCACAATCATAATGCCCACAAGTCTATTGCTGACAGCAATCAAGCCATAGTGAACACAGGGAACATTTAGCACTTCAATAGACTAAATTATTTAGAAATAATTTTCTGTTACAAAATCAGTCATATTAAGCTGTCTAATATCTTACCTTAACCTATTTCAGGTTTTCCCAAGTGGGTAATTCAACAAGTTTGTTACAATTAAAGACACGGCATCTGAGTCTGAGCACCATATGTCACAAAGTATATGATGACATGCAAAGATCGAAGGGGTTAAAAGAGTTCTGGCAACCAAGACCAAGTACACTTTATGACTCTGTTTACTATGCTTTCCATGAGGGATGATGTTTTTGGAATTTACATGTCAAATGTTACTGGCAGTTTCAAAGTAATTCAAATATTTTCTTAAGTGTATAAGTTCCAGCTAAAGTCACAAGCCAGGAACTTGAAAATGTTTCCTTACTTACTCACTCCCCCTCGCTAAATATGAAGTATAGCGTCAGTGTGCCATTATGCTGTTGTGCAATTTAGGTAAAGCGAGCAAAACACTTAAACCACAGCTCATGAAAACAAAGGGCCCTCATGCCATCTGAGACGCCGTGTTTGTCCCGCCCTGCTGGGAGCATCTTGTGTCTGTAACTAAGACAGGATGGGCTGTAAGAATTACGTTAATGTGATTCAGAAACCCACCAAAGTCAGAATAGTACAGATACCAAGCCAAGCACAACATCTTCCCTTAGGGTAACACTATGCAATGATTGGAAAAATACTTTTTAGGGATTTTATGTTTATTCTGGATTCTAGATTATTCTTGCTCACGGTAGCCATTTTATTCTTTTGAAGTGAAAGGCTACTTTTGCTATAGTAACAGTTTTTATTGTTTTACTATTATGTTATTTATTAATTAACCCTCCAGCTGTTTATCCAGTACAGTGTCCCAGTAGGCGGTGGCTTAGAGCTTATCCCAGTAAGCATAAGGCATCCCCCAAAAGGCAGGAGGCACCCTGGACGGCATGCCAGTCCGTCACAGGGCATGGGACAGGTATTTATAGTAAATATTGGTTGCTAAGGGGAAGTGTAATGAACTAAATCTTAGAACAACAAAATGTAAATACAATGTTTGAGTTTGAATATGTTAACAAGGCGCTATTTTACTATAACCATTTCAATGTTAAGAATACTTTGCACTTTATACAATTCAACATCGTATGTTTAATGTTATTTTATTCTTTGCTACTGGAGGGCACGAAGGAAAGATCCATCTATCCACTGCATTCATCCAGTGCAGGGAAACAGTTTTCCGTTTCCTTTGGATTAAAACTGCATAACTGACAATATCCGGTGTGATCAGCCCGTAAATTACTTTTGACAAAGAAATATATATCTGAAACCAATACCAAACAGCTGAATTATACATTTTCATCAACCAGTGCCAGATCTCATGGCAGTAAAATGCACCTGTCATTTTTATTTAAAGCTGCTACAATAATGCATAATTTTAAAGCAATAACACAGAAAATGCGCTTTTACGATGCCACTCAGCAACAACACTCTCTTAAAAGCTTCTTGGGGAGACGCTGCGTGCACATGAAGCGAAACCTTTCAGAACCATAGCAGCAAACAAAAGAGAGAGAATGCGGCAGGGCGGAGGTCAGACGGGGAGAGCTGGGCCAGGAGTCTGGCGGGCTACCAGCGAGAGAGCAACTTTACAGCCGTCCAGCTTCAGAGTGAACATCAAATATGACCTCTCCCCTAACGATTCCCTCTGATCTGTGTGTTGTGTGGAATATGTCTTTTATTGCACTGAAAGTGTTTGTTCTTTCTGAGACACAGAGCTGGGTTGATTATGGAACTTCAGAGGGGCCCAAAGAGAAGACAAATTAAATCTAAATGAGGCAGGTCTGTCTTGCTGATCTAATTATCACTAATACACCTGTAATCGGGTCCTTAGGCAGCCAGGCCCTAACCTTCTCGTTACGGGCTACAGCTTCCACCAGTCTCAGTGTATATGTGACACTGAATGTTAGTCACTGAGTCCATTCAAATCACTTGCCCTTGTAGGTGTCCTGCAGGTCTTGATGTGACATTAGCTATCTGAGTAATGCCTTCCACTGAGCTGGGGAGAGCAGGTGCAAGTCTTTCTGGAGCAGCCCAAAGTGAGGTGCCTGCAGGTTCCCTGTGAACTGCAAGCGATACGAGGCTCCTTATCCAAGAAGTTTGTATTTTATCTTTTAAACATTTCTTAATTTTTATCTATTGCTACTGATGTGTACCTATAAAACATCCATCCATCCATCCATCCATCCATCACACGTATTCAATACAAGGTGCAAAACACCTATAAAGCACTTCTGACCAAATGCGTTTCAGGTGAAATGAGTGTATTAGCAAGGTTTTGTGTTTCCTTTGGATTTAACCTGCGTAACTGACAGCACTTGGCGTGATCACCCCGGGAATTTATTTCTATAACCAGCACCAAGCCACTGAATTATAGGCATGAACTGCGATGGATATAAAGCTTCTTATCCAAAAGGTTGGTATTTTCTACATTTCTTTGTCTTTTAGGAAGTGAGACAGAAAAATTGGTGTAAAAATTTTTGGAATCAGAAATCTAGTCCAAGTGTTTAGGCTACAGTGGCTTTGATTCAAAACCCTTAATCTGGCTCATGTTTAGAATGACACAGGCCAAAAGCCATCACCCGTCATGTCACTATTACTGCAAATTACCGACATATTATTCATGTTAATATCTCATGACCAGCTTCAGTTACCTAGAGTCTCAGCCAGTGCTTTCAATGCAAAATAAATACGAACTGGGAAAAAAATGTGGACACTTCAGTCAGGGCATAGGAGCTGGGGGAATATGTACCTCATAATATTTAACTTGGCTTCCCCCGCAAACCCCCCCCCACCCCCCCAAAAAAATAGATCTTTACATTTAAATATTGTGTTCCCCCAATATCAAACTCTCTTCTATGACAGTACATGTTAGATTGATCTAAATTGTATGCAGAGTCAAATTAAATCATATGGAACCATTACTTGTTTAGCTGTATTTTTCTCTTATTGTCTGTGAGATCCCACACCCTTAGAATAAAAGTTTCCCTCCAAAGTGTATTTTTTATGAAGAAAAACATTAGACGCTGGCAGGTGAGTATAAAATTAATCGCCGCTGCCACCGTTTAGCCTGGGGACCAACCGCTGAGGTGCAGAAAAGGCCACACGCAAAGCTTCACAGCGACCTGGGATGGGGGCATCATTTCTGCCAGGTGCTTAAACACAGACCAGATGGCGAGCAATGAATTCAGCCTGGCTAACAGCAGTACTGCTGAATTTGTGCTATCGGCGCTTCACTGATAGAAGACAAGCGATACCAGTTTCTTTTTTTTTGGTGACAGGAGCTGACTGCACAAAGTCAGGGTGAAGGCAGTCTGGTGGCCATTCATACCTCACCTCCCCTGAACCTTCCCCAAAGCAACAGCTCCTTCACAGCCTTGTCTGGCTGCAGCAGACCTGGAAATCACTGCTCTGGAAATCCAGTTCAAAAGCTGCTCGTGCCAGGAATGGTGTACAGTGTCATATTGTGTACGCGGGATCACTGCATTCCTGCAGTGCAGAGTCTATTGAGTGCCCTTTCAATTCACATTTGATTTACATCTGATCGCTTACTTGAGGTTAGTATCTATCTAATCCATTACTACGTGGCTCTAATCCATACCATAATAAAACCCAGACATGACCCAGTTGCCCCACCTTAGATTTATACATCGTTTCCATGGTAAAAAACAAGGTCACATGGCTAACTCAGATTCTGCTGTGCGAGGATGCCCCCAAGCTGCGTGAAGCCCACACTGTGGTGCAGCTCACTGCTCCCCTCGCTGTTGGGCTGTCAGAGAGCAATTTGGGATAAAAGGTCATGGGCTTGCGTGGTTTTCAGCCGATGTAATTCATTATGTAACCAGAGGGGGAGACACAGGCACTCACAGTCGATATGCTATCCTATAAAACAGATCCTGCCCTGATTTTGCCACACCTTTGATTAAGTTTCCTACAAGCAAACACAGACTTCCATGAGCCTCTGGTCTGAGATACCCTTCTCATGCACAGCAGGCTTGGTGTGGACCTCCCCACCCAGGAGCCCCTATCTAGCTTCTATGGATGGGGAACATTTGCTCTGGCTATAGCTGATCTGGCTGAAGGCAGCAGAGGCAGGTGGACGCTGTGAACTATGGATCACCGGAGAGAGAAAGTTAAAGTTTCCGATTCCATTGGGAATCCTTGACAGAAGCGATGGTTTGGCTTGCGACCGTCTGGCCACATGCGCCATCGTAAGTCCAATAAACTCTCCTTCCCCATCACAGAAATGGGACAACCCTAACTGGTCTAACTGCCTTACAGGTCTCGAGGCTTACACATCGAACTTTGTGGACAGAAACACAACAACAACAAAGTCAATGAGACTTTTTATAAACCTAAAGTGTCATTTAATCCACTCTCTTTTTACAAGTCAGTAAAACTGGTGATGTGGCTTCAGCAAAGAAAATCCCTTACAAAAGATAAACAAAAGCACTTGTC